TGCTGCTCTGTACACACTATACACTGAAATGGAAGTACAATATTTATATTCCAATTGATTTATTTTATAATTATATGGTACACATGAGAAAGTCAGCCATTGTTCAGTAATAGTGTGTTGTGACATGTTTGTATTTTTATGTCTGATTTTGTAAGCAAGTCGTTTTTAAGTGAGGTGAAATTTGGGAGTACACAAGACAAATCAGACTCCTGAAAGGGGAACAGTCATCTGGAAAGGTTGAGAGCCACTGGGATGAGCAGGGGGGCTGGGAGACCGGACTCCTGGGTTCTATTGCGAAATATTCCATGGAGTGACCCTTGGTAAACTTAAATATCTATGGTCACATATGACTAGTTCTGAGACCTCACACACTCAGCTCTGCTGGTGCCCCTCTATCCCAAACCACAGCCCCCCTGCACTCCCCACACCCTCCAGCTCTGCTGGTGTCCCTCAATCCCAAACCATAGTCCCCTGCTAGGCCAGTCCTGGGCCCCCCCACATGCTCTATTGAGCAGACCCTGATTGTGTGACAGATTCCAAAGTAAAATCTCTTCTAGCTCCTGGTGAAATATGGCGGGGAGCAGAGAATGCGCGGAGGAGAATTCCACAGCTGGAGTTTCCTGGGGCTCCTGGCTCCACAGAACTTTAACGAATAGGTAACTTTAATCACGCTAGCTCGGGCCTTTGGAGCAGTTAAGCCCAGGGATAATATCAGCTGATAGCATGTGCTCAGTGCATCGGACTCTGTGTCCAGCTGGGACCCAGGAGAGCTTTCCTTCCCTTCCTGCTTTGTTGTTACATTCCCTTGGACTTACATCAGCTCAGCTTTATTGGTTGTTGGTAATCACAATAAAGAAAAAATGTGTTCGCTGTTAATGTGTGTTTGCGTATTTGTTTGTGTGTCTTCCAATCCATCCCTTTGGACCCCATTTCCCCATGCACTGGTTCATTCCTACCTTGGAGGGTTCTCCTCCATATGGACCCCATCTGTCTGGACATTATCCTATTTCCCCCTGGAGAAAATCTGTCTCTCCCTCAGTTTCCTCATGGCCCCCTTCACCTCCTGGTTCCTTAGGGTGTAGATCACCGGGTTGAGCACCGGGGTCACCACCGTGTAGAAAACCGACACAACCTTGTCCAGCGAGAAGCTGGTGGTAGGGCGGGTGTAGATGAATATGCACGGCCCAAAGAACAACGCCACCACCGCCAAGTGGGAACCACAGGTGGAGAGCGCTTTGCGCTGCCCTTCAATGCTCCGGCTCTGCAGAGAGACCAGGATCACCAGGTAGGAGCCTAGCAGGGCCAGGAAGCAGGTGAGAGAGATCATGCCACTGTTAGAGACGATCAGCACCCCTGTCAGGTAGGTGTCGGTGCAGGCCAGCTTGATGACAGGCGGCACGTCACAGAAGAAGCTATCGATGACATTGGGGCCACAGTAGGGCAGCCGGACGGCGAGCACGGTCTGCACCAGGGAGTGGACGGTGGCTCCAGACCACAGGGCCCCCACCAGCCAGGTGCAGGCTCGCAGACTCATGAGCGAGGGGTACTGCAGTGGGTGACAGATGGCCACGTAGCGGTCGTAGGCCATGGCGGTCAGGAGGAAGATCTCGGCACAGGCGCAGAGGTGGAGGAAGAAAAGTTGGGCCATGCAGCCCCCGAAGGAGATGGTCTTCTCCACAGAGAGGAGATCAGCCAGCATCTTGGGGGCCGTGACCGAAGCGTGGCAGATGTCGATAAAGGAGAGGTTCCCCAGGAAAAAGTACATGGGGGTGTGGAGGCGCCGGTCGTTGACCACCGTCACCATGATGAGGACGTTCCCCGCCAGGATCAGCAGGTAAATGATGGAGAAGAGGGCGAAGAGGACCAGCTGCAGCTCCCGGGTCTCGGTGAGGCCGAGCAATACAAAGTGCGTCACCATGGTGCCATTCTCCCCCTCCATGCAGCAAGCTCTGCGGGGGAGGCCCACGCACTGCACCAGGCAGGGAATCACGGGGACGTGTGCCGAGCAGAGCTCTTCGCTGGGATCTGGGGGCAAGAAGTTCAGGGCCTGGGGATGGGGGAGTTTCAAAGCCAGCTAAGGGATTTGGACACTTAAAATGAGTGGATAGCGGGCATCTGCTTCCCTGAGGGGGATTTGAAACACTCACTCTACAAGCGGGTTTTTTAAAAAGAGAGTGCCCAACTCCCATTGACTTTTACAGTGCCTCACTCCCTTGGGCTCCCTTGGAAATCCCAGCCTGTGTGTGGAGGAGAAAGAAAGAAAGAAAAACCATTAGCCACATGAAACTGTCACGGACATGGTGTCAGGTTAATAGCGAGGATATCTACGCACAGTCATTATATCCAACAACCCAGTCCATGCACAAGACAACCGATAAATCATTGTACACAAGCCATTCCCACAGACACACACACCTCTCCCCACCACACCAAGGGCTCAGAAGAGAGCCCAGGGCCGGTGCAACCACTAGGTGAACTAGGCGGCCGCCTAGGGCGCCTAGTGGTTGGGGGCGCCTAAAAGCCCACTCAGGTGAGGAGGTGGAGTGGAGGTGAGCTGGGCGAGGGGGGGGGGCGCGGGGAGGGCCACCCACAGTAACGGGGGGGCGCACAGGGGAACCGCTCCCCGCCCCAGATCACCTCCACTCTGCCTCCTCCACTGAGCACACAGACCCCGCTCTAAGTCTCCTCCAATCGGCGCCGCAAGCAGGGCCGGCTCCAGCATTTCTGCCGCCCCAAGCAAAAAAAAAAAGCCGTGATCGGCGGCAGCAATTGGGGGGAAAAAAAAGCCGCGATCGGCTGCGGCCGTTCAGCGGCAGGTCCTTCACTCCTAGAGGGAGTGAGGGACCTGCCACCCCTGAATTGCCGCAGGTGCCGCCCCTCTCCCTTGGCTGCCCCAAGCACCTGCTTGTTAAGCTGGTGCCTGGAGCCGGCCCTGGCCGCAAGCCTGCGAGGGGAGGAGAATTAGAGCGGTGCTGGCGTGCTCAGCGGAGGAGGTGGAGCGGGTGAGCTGGGGCGGGCTCCCCAGGAGGGGTTAGCTGCCACAGGGGAGAGTCTCCCCAGGCAGGGTTAGTTTCCACGGGGGGGCTGTCTCCCTGGGCGGGGTTAGCTGCAGAGGGGGAGTAGCTGTTGTGGGTGGGGGGGCTCCCCAGGCTGCGGGGGTGGCGGGCTCCCTGGGTGGGGGGCTGGGTTAGCTGCTGCGGGGGGGCGGGGTTAGCTGGGTGGTGGGGGGGCAAGGTGGAAGTTTCGCCTAGGGCGCGAAACTTCCTTGCACCGGCCCTGAGAAAGCCTCAATGTCAATGTCTTTCCACCTTACAAAGAGAGAGAAGGGGAAGTACTGGGTCTATTCATCTTGCTGAAGAGAAGGTTAAGAGGTTTACAGATTCCAAGGCCAGAAGGAACCATTGTGATCATCTCGCCTGCCCTCCTGTACCACAGGCCACAGAACTTCCCCAAAATAATTCTTTTAGAAAAACATCCAGTCTCAATTTTAAAATTGCCACTGATGAAGAATCTACCATGATCCTCGGTAAATTGCTCCAATGGCTAATCACCGTCATTGTTCAAAATGTATGCCTTATTTCCGGTCTGAATTTGTCTAGCTTCAACTTCTAGCCATTGGCTCATGTTAGATATTCCTCTGCTGAAGAGCCCATTATTAAACGGTTGTTCCCCGTGTAGGTACTTATAGACCAGGGATCAGCAACCTTTGGCTCGCGGCTCGCCAGGGTAAGCGCCCTGGCGGGCCAGGCCAGTTTCTTTACCTGCCATGTCTGCAGGTTCAGCCAATCGCGGCTCCCACTGGCTGCAGTTCACCGCTCCAGGCCAATGGGGGCTGCGGGAAGCAGCACAGGCTGAGGGATGTGCTGGCTTAGCCCTTCCCGCAGCCCCCATTGGCCTGGAGTGGCGAACTGCAGCCAGTGGGAGCCGCGATCGGCCGAACCTGCGGATGCAGCAGGTAAACAAACCAGCCCGGCCCGCCAAGGGCTTTCTCTGGTGGGCCAAGTGCCAAAGGTTGCCCATCCCTGTTATAGACTGTAACCCTAAACTAAATAGATTGCAGCACTAGATCCAGTGGCTGGGGGCTGAAGCTAGATGGATTCAGACAGGAACTATGGTTACAAAAAGTTAACAAGCCATTGAGACAATTTACCAAAAGACAAGGCGGATTTTCCACCCCTGGAATCTGTAAGCCAATACAGGACAACTTTCTTGAGGATTCACTCCAATGCAACACCGAATTATTGGACTCGACTCAGGAATCCCAGGGGTGAAATTCTCTGGTCTGAGCTATGCAGGAAGTTAAACTGGGTGAACAAAATGCCCTCTTTAATCCTTAAAATCCATGAATCTATCCTCCAGGGCAGAATCTGATTTTTTATAATTTCAACAGATAATATCCATGTTCTATTTTTAAACATTTGTTTCTATTTTTATCTATTTAAATGTTCACAGTTGTGGAAAATGATGGAGGTGTCAGACAATAATTATTTGACGCTGTGCTATAAAAAGTTAAAGCTTTATAACCCTTAACACACATTGTCAACATCACATGTCAAAATGTACAAAGTAAATCTCCTTCAATTAAACTCTAATAAGTGCTCAAGCAGCATCTTTCTTACTTTGCCTAGCTAAATTTTGATTATTTATGGATGGAGATACTTTTGTCCGTTTGTGTGTACGGTTAAATCAGTGTTCACCGACATTTACTGACAAAAAACAAATCCTTCCAAGAGTTGTATAACATGAGTGCTCAGTTACTGGGGGCAGTAATGGATGGGGGGGAATTCACTCCACCACCCAAGTGCCTGGGTGAAACCTCCTGCCCTCGGTTATGCTGGAGGTCAGACAAGGTGATTGAATGACCCCTTCTCGGTTTAACAACTATACATCTAGGGGTTTTTTTTTAAATCACTGTTCCATTAGGAGATGCAATCAGATGAAGGAACCTGGAATTTCCAGAACATAGTCAGATGGGACTGGGAGGGACTTCCTAAATCATAGAGTCCTCGCCGTACTGTTACAAGCAACCCTGTCATATAATCCCATTTGTAAATGGATCAAACTCCATCTTCAAGCTCACTAACTTGTTTGCCCCCCTCCCCTTGGGAGGCTATTCCAGAATTTCTCTCCTCTGAGGGTTAGAAACCTTCTTCTCATTTCCAGCCTAAATTTATTCATGGCCAGTTTATCCCCATTTGTTCTGGTGCCAACATTGTCCTTTAGCTTCAGTAACTCTTCTCCCTCTCTGGTATTTGTATTTACAGAGTGAAATCAGATCCTTTCTTGGCCTTGATTTTGCTAAACAAGCCCATCTCTTTGAGTGTCCTCTCATAAGATCAGTTCTCTGTTCCCAGGATATCTTAGCAGCCCTTCTCTGCACCTGTTATAATTTGAATTCATCTTTCTTGACCATGAGTAACCAGAATTGGACACACTATTCCAGATGAGGTCTTGCTAGTGCCTTGTACAATGGCATTAATACTCCCCTATTGCTACGGGAAAGCTCTACAGAAAATGTGTTCAGTATTTGTTGCGTGTGAATATTCTGCTCCTTGCTTGTTGTTCAGATCCCAACAGAGAGGGAAAAGGAGTAAATTCATGCCCAATGCATTGGACACACAAACGGCTCTGATGACCCATCAAAATACTGATTCACTGCTGGCTTACCAGTGTGCCAGAGTGGAGAATCTGGCCCCAGCCTAGTAACTCTGACACTAGAGGTTTTGCCATGATATAAGGGGATTTACCTGATCTAGTGCAGAGATGGGCTGAGTAAAGCTGCAGCCTCCTTAACCAAATCACTGTCAGAAAGCTCCACGGATTCATGCTCCTATTAAAAAAAAAAGAAGAAAGACAAGAAATAGTTTGAGTTACTTCTCGGGAATCTTTGGGGACTCTGAATTTTCTGGACAATGCACCCAAACCGCTTCAAATTTCCAATCATTCGTAGCAAACGTTTCTATTCAACTTCACCACAGAGCTTAGCAAAATCTAATGTACAAATCTGCAGGCCAGACCGTCAGCTCGTGTGAGTAGTGCAGCCATGCGAGAGCCAGCAACGCTGCACGACTGACACTGGCTGAGTCTCTGGCTGGCTATTTCTGCAGCCTGGTCCATCCAAGAATCTTCAACCGCTTTATAAACCTTAGGCTCAGGTTTTCCCAGGAAGCAAAGGGAGTTAGGGGCTCAGGTTTGCTGGGAAATCCCAGCCTAAACCCTCCTTGTGAGGTAGAAGAGGATGCTCAGCTGCACGCTCTCGAGCTGGGGAGCAGCGTGGAGCCTCTGACTGTCAGGCTGCTCATGGCTTACATGGGGTGAAGACGTCTGCCTCAGTGATGTGCCCGGCGTTCCTGATAGAGGCCAGGGTAGACACCAGAGACCCTGTTCCCTCCCACACTAGACTAGAGCCTCAGCTGCTCTGAGTCAGTGCAGCGCCCACTGAAATCCGCTTACGGAAACCAGCTAGCAAGCCGGTCCTCCATACGGAGAGCGTCCCCAGCCACATGAGACTTCCTCCAGCATGGAAGGGGAATGAGCCAGCCTTTCGTGCGGGGGCTAAAGGAGCATACAGGGTTAGCGTGAGGATGAAGGTTACGGTTCGAGTGTGGGGTGACAGGTCTTTGACAATCGCAGCAGTTCAGGACACGGCCTCCTTCCTTGTATGGCTGGGCAGCACCTGGCGTAACGAGTTCTGATATCAGCGGACGCTTCTAGGCACTGCCGTGGTACAAAGAAATGATAAAGCCAGCTCCCCGGCTGTGCAAATCAGCAGAGCGTGTTCGCTTCAATGGAGCGGTGGCCAAGTTATGCCAGCTGGGCATCCGACCCATTCATAATAAATCCAAAACCCCGGGGCTGGTTAAAATCCCCTGCTCTTTGCCTTCTGAAGGCAGCGTACTTACCCGCTGAGCTAGCTGGGCCCAGCAGCTCCAGGATTTCCTCTCATCTCTGCATCCTGGCTTGGCAGCTCCCAGCCTCCTGCAATGCTGCTGCTGTCAGATATAGGACCGTCTGCTTCGCTCAGCCACCAGGAAGGAGGCTGGTTAAAGAGTGAGCTATTGGGAGACCTGTGCACCTTCCCCTAATTAAATCACCAGGGATGTGACTTTTTAAAAAAATATGAAATGTTTTCCCCAGGCGCAGAGTTTTCCGCAAGCCATAGTGAACTCCAGAAGCAGCCAAAGCAGGGAGCTCTGGGCATTCGGAGAACTTCCCAAGATTTCACTGGACTTCCTCAGCCCGCTGCTGTTTGCTCCAACTTTCCCCCTCCCCAACTTCACTGCCCACTGGCCCCTCTCATCTGCTTCTCCCTGCCTTGTCCCCTCCCCACCCTTCCCTTGCCTTTCCTTTCCATTTCGCTGAGCCTGTCTAGATAACTCACCCCCAAAAACTCCTGGCACTCAATGACATTCGCAGCTATCCCATTGTTCGCTCTGCTGGGGTGTTCCATCCCTTCACTCCCCCGCTGGCTCTCTGCTTTATTTAAATGGCAGCTTTTCGGGACAGGACCCATCTATAAAGTAGATATAAAGCTGGCTAGATCATCGGGCTCAATGGGTAGTAATCAATGGCTCCATGTCTAGTTGGCAGCCGGTATCAAGCGGAGTGTCCCAAGGGTTGGTCCTGGGGCCGGTTTTGTTCAATAGCTTCATTAATGATCTGGAGGATGGCATGGACTGCACTCTCAGCAAGTTTGCAGGTGACACTAAACTGGGAGGCGTGGTAGATACGCTGGAAGGTAGGGATAGGATACAGAGGAACCTAGACAAATTAGAGGATTGGGCCAAAAGAAACCTGATGAGGTTTAACAAGGACAAGTGCAGAGTCCTGCACTTAGGACGGAAGAATCCCATGCACCACTACAGACTATGGACCGAATGGCTGCCAGTTCTGCAGAAAAGGACCTAGGGGTTACAGTGGACGAGAAGCTGGATATGGTCAACAGTGTGTCCTTGTTGCCAAGAAGGCTAACGGCATTTTGGGCTGTATAAGTAGGGGCATTGCCAGCAGATCGAGGGACATGATCATTCCCCTCTATTCGACATTGGTGAGACCTCTTCCGGAGTACTGTGCCCAGTTTTGGGCCCCACACTACAAGAAGGATGTGGACAAATTGGAAAGATTCCAGCAGAGGGCAACAAAAATGATTAGGGGGCTGAAGCACATGACTTATGAGGAGAGGCTGAGGGAACTGGGATTGTTTAGTCTGCAGAAGAGAAGAATGAGGGGGGATTTGATAGTTGCTTTCAACTACCTGAAAGGGGGTTCCAAAGAGGATGGATCTAGACTGTTCTCAGTGGTATCAGATGACAGAACAAGGAGCAATGGTCTCAAGTTGCAGTAGGGGAGGTCTAGGTTGGATATTAGGAAACACTATGTCACTAGGAGGGTGGTGAAGCACTGGAATGGGTTACCTAGGGAGGTGGTGGAATCTCCTTCTTTAGAGGTTTTTAAGACCCGGCCTGACAAAGCCCTGGCTGGGATGATTTAGTTGGGGATTGGTCCTGCCATGAGCAGGGGGTTGCACTAGATGCCTCCTGAGGTCCCTTCCAACCCTGATATTCTATGATTCTATGATTCTGTACAGCACCCAGCATGCTGTGCCTGGCTGGCCTCAGGCACTATCAAATTATGCTAATATAATAATAGTAGCCGAGCACTGCTAGAAACCTGCTGACATCTGACGGGGAATATAACTCTATCACTAGTTTATTTAGGGGGGGGAACAGCTATAGACCATGACAGATGCGGCAATTTCCTGCAATGTCCTGGGCAAACCTCACTGAATTAAGTTCAATTATTTTAGGAGTTCATTTTAAGACATGCAAACATTCATGTCTTACTGTGGGTGGTGGGGAGACCTGGCTAATGTAAACCCTGGAAAGTGCTATGCACATCAAAGGACTGTTTCAAACGATGGGAACTTTTAAAGCTAAGTGGGTGTCCCAGGGGATTGCTAGGTGGGGGTTTGTAACTCCCCCAGTTAAGCAAAAACCCAGCCTCTTGAAGCGACACCCTGTGGAGGGCCGCACTGGCTACAAATCACCTATTCCCAAAGACCCAGGCTGGATAAAGGAGGGACTAAACTTGTCTGTGCTTGTTCTGAGCTAGTGACTGTGATGAACTTGTGACCCCATAAAAAATCCTTGGTGAGGTCTGGAGAATTGGTCACCTGCCAGAGCCCTTCTCTATCAAGCTTCTCGCCACGCAGGTAGGTTCTCTTTGTGTTTCTAATCTGTGTTCTCTGGAATGCTTTTACTTTAAGAATAAATGTGCTTGCTTATACAGGGCAGTGTGGTGACTTCACTGTGGGAAATTGCACTGTTTATAGCCGCTGAGGATCAGGGAAAGCAGCCCTGCTGAGGCAGTGTGACTTGCTGGGGAATTCACCGTGTCGACAGGGAACTGAGCGGTCGAGCGAGAGAGAGATGTGCATTTCCCAAGAGAGGTGATGGCTGGGGAGCAGGCAGCCTGAGAATGAGTGCCCTGGCTGGACCACGGAGTGGGGAATACAGGTGCGGTTGCCCTGACCTGTGACAGACCAGATCCCATTGACTGCAATGGAACCTACTTAATTTATACCAGGCAAGGACCAAAGTATTGTGCCAAGTCTTTTATTCTTTCATTATTTTAGCTTCTTACCAAAAGATGACATTTTCTGCCACCTTTTGCCAGTTCTGTCTCTGTTTACATGGCCCCTGTCAGCTCAGGCACACTGATGGATTTGTCCTCACAATAGCCCCAGGAGGTAAGAAAAGGTTATCATCCCCATTTTACAGTGGGGGAAACTGAGGCAGAGAGCGACATGGCTCAGGTCACATTGCAGAGCTGGGAATAGAACCCAGGAGTCCTGGTTCTCAAACCCACCCACACCCCTATGCTAACCAATTAGCCCCCACTCCCCTCCCAGAACCCAGGAATCCTGGCTCGCAGCCCTACTACTTTAACCACTACACCCCACTCCCTTCCCCAGGAGAAGAACTAAAACCACACAGTAAAGTGGCAGGAAGGCAGAGGATCCAGTCAGCCCTCCTGGGAGCTGAGTCTGTGGGTGCACTTCAGAGCAGGTGCTTGCAGAACCGACCCTGCCCTGCGCTGCTGAGAGAGTTTGTCTGGCTGTAGATCACTGGGTTTTGGACCTGGTTTTTGGCACCAGTCTGCACTAGCCGAGAACAGGAGAGATCCGATCACACAGGCTTGGAGTGGCGAAGGGAATTAGACACTCAAGTCCCTTTGAATTTCCTGGCCTGTTGTTTATCCCCTAGTTCTGTGCAAATAAAAGTGAGAATTTTAAGACCAGGTCATATCTCAGGAACCTCTGGTCCAAATGATCCCATCTTCCCCGCACACGCTGTATATTTACCTCCCATCTATCCTAGCAGTTTTCCAGCAAATCTGATGCTGCATGCGGATTCTAGGGCACTTTGAAAAAAGTTTTTTGAACAGAAGAGGCACATCAGCTTGAAGCGAGGGGCACCCAATGCTGGGCTGGCTCAGGAGGGCCCAGCAGGAAGCCAGGCTGCAGGTTTCTGTGCAGCTGGCACCTGGATTCCCCTCGCTGTGTCTCTCACTGCGCAGTAGTAGATGCCGGCGTCGCTCAGGCTGGCTCCATCTCGGGTGAGGTTGGTGGAGCGGGAGGCCTTGTGCACAGCCATGGTGAATTCTCCAGCGGTGGAGGAGCCGTCATGCCCAGTCCCTAGAAAGCTCGGCGCCCCCCGGCCCTGCTGGGGCTGTTTGTACCAAGACATCATGTCATGGGAGGTGGCGTTTTGGCTGCATGGGATCAAGATCCTTTCTCCTTCCACTCGTGTGATCTGGGGCAGCTGGAAAACCTGGGCCAGGGCCCATCTCGGAGCCACTGCAGGAAGAGAGGCAGGAAGTGAGAGAGGGACGGACTCTCAGCCGCCTGGGCAGTGATGCACAAATTGTCTAGGGCTAGAGAAAACCTGGGTGCAGAGACGCTGACCCCACAGAATGAGCGGCTCTAACCCATACGAAAGGTGCTCAACAGTGCCGTGCTGGAGAGAGAGCGGATAAATCGACGGACCCTGCCGGGGGGAGGGTGACCAGATGTCCCAATTTTATAGGGACAGTCCCGATATTAGGGGCTTTTTCTTATATAGGCGCCTGTTACCCCCCACCCCCTCCCAATTTTTCACACCTAGCCAGAGGCTGGATGAAGACAAGAGAAGGAGACTCTTACCCACCAAGTAGGGACAGCACAGGCAGTAATTCCTTCATGGCAATGCTCAGAGCACTGGTCGTGTTTTGTGCTTTCTAGCCGTGACTAACGCCTGCCACCCAGCTGCCTCTGCAACCGCAAACACCCCGTCTGCACAGAGCAAACTGCTTCAGAGCACCTAGCCCGTCCCTCCCTCCACCCACCAGTCTCTTCCCTTCTGAGCTGGTCGCAAGACAGCACAGCAGCCCCCTTTGATCTCCTCTGAGGTAGCAAGAGCGATGCACAGTTAAAGATACAGCAATTGTAAAACTTCTCTCTTCTATCTCGCTAGCTGCATTCCCAGGGCCTCCGTGTGCTTAGGCCCTCAGTGGGGCTAGTCCTTCGGCTGGGGCCTGGTGCTCAGGTGCGAACGTCACCCCCCAGTGCTCAATTCTGAGACTGTCCTGTCCCGTCACACAGCCATGATTCCACCCCTGAGCTTGCAGGGCTGCGGACAGGGGCCAGGGGCTGGGCTGGGAGGTTCTTCTACAAGGGGAGTGGGTTGTGGCTGGGAGATCCTTGCCTCAGGCAGCAGTGGCTGCAGGGGAGTGGGGGGTTGGGA